GGCTGATTCTGTTAGGGAACCTCTTCCTGAGTCTTCCCTAGCTGACTTCATGTCTAAGCTTTGAGAGATTTCTGGTATTCAATAATTGCTGCCCCACATCTGTCTCTGTTGACACTAGTTGAATAAGTGGTTTATTATGTCCCTCTCTCCTTTTGTGTATGCTTAGAATTTTCTATCTAAAAGCTTAAAAATAATTTCTGTCTCTAATGCAAGTGTACCCTCTGTGTGACATCCAGGCTTAGCCATCCAACTGTCTTGTCTCCCTAACAGTCCTACCTGAATCTGTTCAGCATCTCCTCCACCACAGCTGACAGGGGACTCTGAGTTCCCTGCCCCAGATTCAGTCTGGGCATCAGGTATTTAAGTTAGAAATGAACACTAACCTTGACTTCTCCCTGTCAAGTCTGTTAGGAAGTCTAGAGTTTATACCTCTAGGAAGAGCTAAAGTCCACCTGACCCCCCATCCTCCTCTTACCTTTCTGCTCCTACACTCAAATCCATGTCACCACCATCTGTCCCACTGTCACCTCCCACCTACCTGACCCCCCCCATTTTTTCTCATTCTGCTTCAAATCAAACCCAACCTCCTCAGCATAGCCCCCTGGCACACACATGCACACATGACATTTGAAGACATGGGTCTAGGACACCCAAGTACTGGATATGGTCATTTTCTTGGTAAATCTTTTTTGAGGCAAAAAGCTGCAATTTTCCCCCCTTTATCTTTACAGCATTAGGAATGATACCACCCCCTGAAAATGTCAAGATGAATTCAGTTAATTTCAAGAGCGTTCTACAATGGGAGCCACCTGCTTTCCCCAAAGAGAATCTGACTTTCACTGCTCAGTACCTAAGGTAGGTCTTGTGGCTCTTGGCAAGATGGTACCCATGGACTGGAACTCCAGTGGGAGGGAGTCTAATTACTGCTACCTGTGTGATCATGACTGCTCAAGGGAGCCAACCTATTGGCCTTTTTCTTTCTGTGCAAGAAATTATTTTAGTCTGCACCCAACCCCCCACAACCCCCTTTCTATGCTTGCTGTGTAACCCAGGATGGTACAGAAGTCACTATGTAGCCCAGGCTCACCTCAAACTGGAGATCTTCCTGCCTCAGTCTCCCCGGTGCTAAGATTGCAGGCATGTACAACCATGCCTGACCTTGGTATGCTTTCTTGTGTTGGTTCATTGTTCCACAGTTTATTGCAGAGCTGTTGGTGGATATAGATGTTTGATTATATGTTTAGATGTAGTGGCCAACAGTGGTAGCCTAGTGCTATGCAGGACCTAGCTAGTTTGTTATAATTGACATATTTTAAGAGGAAAAGAAAAGGTCACTATTACCACGTTCAGTCACTTCAGCTAGTATACAGTACTAAATTCAACATTAGAAGCAGAAACTACCTGAGAATCCCAGGTGTACAAAGCAGTCAGGAAGACCCTGGCTACCATACTTGCCCCTGATAGAGTCTAGCAGCCGCCCCAGGGCCCTCCACTTACCCTGCCTATATGTAATCCAATAATCTGGCGAAGGAAATACACAGCAGCCCTCTCTCAGAAGCCTGTCCCCATTGGCCACAGGCTGAATCACAGATGTCATAGCTTCATGCCAGACCAATAGCAGCAGAAGCCCCAAGGTCCATAAGGCAACATGTATGCTTCTCACATGACTCAGAAACACCGGAAGACCAGCAAGCCCTTCAGTGAGGCCAGAGAACATTCCCTTCCAGATCTGGTTAACCCCACCCCATTTTCCATGCAGCTGTTTTACACACTTACTCATGGGCTACAAAGTCCAAGGAGTTGAAAGAGAGATTAAATACACCTTGCCTACATTGTTGGGTTCTTTTTTTTTCTTAGTTTGAAATAATTTCACACAAACTGAACATGTCAAGATTTCAAGGACAGTAATAAGAAACAGAGCCTACATTGAGATTTGCCAAATTGTAATATTTGCCATATTTTTCCTCCTTTGATTCTCTGTCTTATACTATATTTTTCTCACTGTTTTGACAAAATGTCTGACAAAGGAACGCAAGGAAGGAAAGAAAGGTTTATTTGGGCTTGTGGTTTGAGGAGACAGTCCATCCCGATGGGGAAGTCATAGCCATGAGGTAAGACAGCCAGTCACATTGTAGCCACAGTCAGGAAACAGAGGGCTATAGATGCTGGTGCTCAACTCTCCTCCTTTTTATTCTCTAGAAAAGTGCTGCCTACCTTCGGGGTGGATCTTCCTGCTCTGTTAAACCTTTCTGGAAACACCCTCATAGACCTCAGAGGCATGTTTCCATGGTGATTCTGAATCCCACCAAGCTGACAAGAGAAACCATCACACATACACGACATCTTTGCCCTTTTATATTTCCATGCGTAGTTTATAGGAACAGGATATCCTTTCATACCACAGTATAGTTATCTACAGTCCAGAGTTCAGTGACTGAAGAAGAGTCATTCTGCGGTTCATTTTCCAGAAGTTCATTTCTAGTGCTGGTTGGTTTGTCATTTCACTCCACTCGGTCTAGAAAGTCACAGAAATTTCACTGTGGAAAAATTAACTTTCTTCTCATATCAGTTTGTTATTATTGTTGTTGCTATAATGAAACCCCTGAGGCTGGCTCACAGATTTGGGGGTCCAAGGCCAAAGGGCTCTATCTGGCTAGTGATGCCCTTGCTGGCAATCCTAGGGCAGCACAGGGTCTCACAAGGTGAGTGACAGAAGACATGCATTTGTACCCTGCTACTGCTCCTCTTATGAAGCCACCAGTATTTAATCATAGGGCTACATCCTGATGACCTCATCTAAACCTGGTCACCTTCAAAATGCCCCTCTCCAAATGCCTAGTCAATTAAGTTTCCACTCTCTGGATCTCTCACACTGGGACTGAACTCCAGCATGAGCTTTGGAGGGGATGAACATAGCACCTCTCTTTGCTCTAAGTCTTGCCATTATATTAGGGGTGATTGATTTCAAGTGTTTGTGTTTTAGGCAAGGTGAGGTCTCGGTAGCTTTGTGAAGATGTAGGGCAGGAGGTGGTTATTAACCTAGAGTTAGTTCCCTCTTCATGGAACACAAACCACATGCAGGCATATCCTCGGGGAGGAGATTGGTCCTGAAAGATCTCATTATACTTATATGGCTCCATAAAAAGTCTGCTTTGAATTCAACTTGGGCCTGTGAATGCAGCTTTTGCAGTGGAGTAAGCTGTTATGTGGGTGCTTTGCCTTTGTCCTCTGTTGCCTGGGCAACAGAGGGAGACTGTCTCAGCGAGGAGTCAGGTTGTCTAGAACAGGGCACTTCAGAGAGTGTGTTGGTGATTTTAATATGGAAGCATCCAAAACTTGACATAAGTATGAGCATGCTAATATTGCATATTTAACAGGGAAAATATTTATAAAGGAAAAAATAGCAATGGGAAGAGAAGTTATTGAAATACAGTGTCAGCCAACTGATGTATTAATTTAAATGACAGAAATGACCATATATGAGGAAACCCTCCCTTAATAACCCCTATTTTCCAAATATTGGAATAGAATGTAATTCAGTCATAAAGAATTGATTGACTGGGGGCTAGAGAGATGGCTCAGCAGTTAAGAGCACTGACTGCTCTGCAGAGGACCTGGGTTTGGTTCCCAGCACATACATGGTGGCTAACAACCATCTGTAACTGTAACTCCAGTTCCAAGGGATCCAACACCCTCTTCTGACTTCCTCAGGTATTGCATGGCACAGGTGCACTTACATACATGCAGGCAATACACTCATATACATAAATTTTTTTAAAAAAAGTTGATCGATTAGCGAAATGTTTGTGGTATATTAAATTGAAAAGGTAAATTGTAAAATACAATATCAATTGTCCCTACTTACTTTGTACTCTGGATATTAATAACCTGGTCTCTAAAACCCTAAAGTCAAACAGAACTGAGTGTATTTAGACAAGTTCCCTAGACTTTCTATGCCTACCCCCAAGCTCTATTATTGATATTGTTATTATTATATTATTGTGATTATGAGATGATTATTACCATCAGCATCACCATTGTGATGGTTCTTGTTATTGTCAACATGACAAAATCTAGACCTACCTTGGGAAATGGGCCTCTGAGTATGTCTGTGGAGGATTTTATGTTGATTACATTAATTGAAGACCTGCCCACTGTGGGAGGCACCATTCCCTAGACAGGGGATCCTGAACTGTGTGAGTAGAGAAAGGAGGGGCTGCAGTTAAGGATGAGTTCTAGTCCCCAAACCCACATCTGGCAGGTCACAACCACCTGTAACTCTAGCTCTAAAGAATCCAGCATCCTCTTCTGGCCTCCTCAGGCACCTGTACTCACATGCACATACCCCCCCCCCACATACACACACATAATTAAAAATAGAATAAATCTTTGAAGAAAAAAAGAAAAAGAATGAAAGCGAGCTGAACACTAGCATGCACACATTCATCTCTTTCTGCTTCTGACTGTGGATATGACATGAGGGGCTACTTCAAGCTCCTACTGCCTTGACTTCCCTGCCAGGATGGACTGGAACCTGGGATTGGGAGCCAAGATAAACCCTTTCTACCTTAAATTGTATTTTATCACAGCAACAGGAAAAGAAACTCAGACAGACAATGAGGGCAGCCAAATTGGTTTTGACACCTAGACAGGTGGGGTGGGAACCAGTCAGACGGCTTTTCACTGACAGGAAGAGAGCCTGTGTTTGTCAGGTGGAGCTGATTGCACTGCCTCAGGCTGTTGTGGGTAAGTATAAGTGTCCTTGCACTTGCTGTTTCTCCCAGCCTCCCTGAAGTGGTTGCTTGGAGCTCATGTTCTCAAAGTGGATAAACTGTTTCATGATTTTTCTAGAATAATAATGCCAGTCTTTTTTAAGACACTATTTGATCCTAATATCTTCTAGTTAATCTCATGATCATATCCCATTGCTATCAGAAATACACAAGCCAAGAATGAAGCTTTCTCAGTCAAGCATGTTGAATGCTCAACTCTGGTTTTGGAGCCATACTTCTTTATTAGAATATTAGAATCTTGATTTTCTCTCAAAATATGTGACCTTGGAATGGACTGTTTTTGAAAAGCCTTGTGATACCCCAAGGATCATTACAGTCTCAGTTTGAAAAATACTAACATTTTTTATGTGTATGAGTATATTGTCTGCATGTGTGCAAGTGTACCTGTGTCATGCAGTGCTGGAGGAGATCAGAAGATGGCGTTGGATTCCCCTGGAACTGAAGTTACAGATGGTTATTAGCTGCCATGTGGGTGCTGGGAATCGAACCCAGGTCCTCTGCAAAAGCAGCCAGTGCTCTTAACCACTGAGCCGTCTCTCCAACCCCCCAAAATATTAATTTTTATTGTGCATACTATTTCTCCAAATTAATGATGAAGAATTTGCTGGGCATAGTGGTGCACACCTGAAATCCCAGTATTTGGGAGGTTGAAGCAGGAGGATCTTAAGTTTGAGGCCCGCTTGGGCAACAGAGGGAGACTTTATCTATAAAGAGAAGAGAGAAAGAAGGAAGGAGGGGGAGCCAAAAAAAAATTAGCTTTATTTTCCCTTTATTATTCTCTGTTCATCTTTGGTATCAGCCTCAGAAACAAAAATAGAATTCTGATGATTTTTATCTTTTTGGTTATGTAGTTATTGGGGTTTTCAAGATGTATGCAAGAACACTACCATCACAGAATGCGACTTCTCAATTCTTTCTAAGTATGGCGACCACACCTTAAGAGTCAGGGCTGAGTTTGCAGACGAACATTCGGACTGGGTAAACATCACCTTCTGTCCTGTGGAAGACAGTAAGCCTTTGCTTTCCATTTTTGTTGTAATATAATCATCTTGCTTTGGTTTTGTCCACATTGGTTGAACCATCAACAAGAATTCTTAAGAGTACCCACAAATACATGGCCTTGTACATGAAGCTCAGGGGATAAAACAGAGAGGCCTTAAAGAAATTCATGGGTAAAACAGGCAAGGATGTGTATGTCCTCAATAAAATAACTATAAATACGCTAACTTCACTGCCTCCAGGGTGTGAACAAGTTGAGGCTAGCACTGTTAATAAGGACGAAGTAACTATGAGACAGATTTCTGGGAGGAAGTCAATGTGGAGTTATGAGTAAAATAAAGAAATGTGACAAAAGAAAGAGTTAAGGCAAATGGAGACTGCGAGTCCCCATGCAGAGAGGCAGCTTGTCAGAAGGACAGGGGAAAGTGTTGGACTAATGGTGGAAGGATTAGATCAGGCTGGTACAAATTGGAATGAATGCTCCCAGGTTAGACCTGGAGGGCCATGGAGACCCGGAGGCCCTGGGGTAAACATATTCAGAGTATTAGGAATTAAAAGCTAATTAGAGCACTATATAGCAATGGAGAGAATAGAGGTGATTAGAGGTAACAAGACTTACGTACAGTTCTCCGAGAGGTTCCAGAGGGAGACAGTGCAAAAATTGTGTCTGTGTGGCGGGGGTCTTTGTATGGGTCTCCTGCTTGGACCCCTGTGACTTCCACAATTATAGGTTCCCCTAGAGAGAATGAGGCTGGAGTCCCTTCTCCTTTTTCTTAGCTCTGCCCTTGATGGGCAGAAACCTCATATTTCTAGAACCAGATGTTACCAAAGTTACATTATATTTTCTAAAGGTTTCTATCTAAAAAAAAGAGAAGGTGAACATAAAAATACACTTTATCAATTATCGAACTTCCAAATAACAGGTGTTCCTCAATTTATAGTGGTGTTTATGTTCCCATAAGCCCATCACAAATTTAACTTTGATTTAACACACCTAGCCAACCACATCCTAGCTCAGCAACATAGCATGCTGTAGAGTATTGCTTGGTCCCTGTCGTGATCACATGAATGACAGGGAATGTTGGTTCACTGTCCCCTGTCAGCCTTGAAAAAGAAAATCAGGCCAACACACCATAGTCTCAGGAACAATCACAATTCAAAAGTCAAAGTACAGTTTCTATATAATGACACTCACTTTCACATGATCAAAGTCTGGCAGCCATCATAGGTTGGGAACCCACTAATATATAAACTTCTGCTCTAAGCAGCAGGTCCTGGCTGCTTCTAAATCTTATTTCAGATCCCATTTAGGGCAGTTCCCTTTAGAAATGACTCAAGCAGTGTGTCCCATGGTCACACAAGTAACAAGTGGCAAAGTAAAGATTCAGATACAAGCCTCTGCACCCATCCCCTTAGCAGCTGCCACCCTACATTGAATATAGGAAAACTAATAGTAATCCAGTAGATGTATGTTTTATGATGGGGGTGGCTAGGGCTCTCCAGAAAACAAAAGGCAACAGGAAGAGAGGGCTACCACTCTCTTCTGAGGAGGGACAATATACAGGCTTCCGGAGGAGTGACATTTGAATAGAGATCCAGATGGAGTGAAGGGGTCTGTCATGGATACATAGTGAAAGATTAGCTGGGAAAGTGCATAAGGTTATATATGGTGAACACTGAAGGGCAACCACTAAAGATAATAGAAATGTTATCTGTAGCTCCAAAAAAGAAGGGAAATTCAAACCAATAGAAAGCAGAAAACAGTCGGGCGTGGTGACACAGGCCTTTAATCTCAGCCCTGGGGAGGCAGAGACTGGTGGATCTCTCAAGATAGGCCAGCCTGATCTCCAGGCAGACTGAGACTAGGGAGACACTTTAGAAAAAACAAAACAGAACAAAAACAAAGAAGCAGAAAACAAAGAGAAAGGGAGGACGCTAATAAAATGGAAAAATTTAAAGCAAACTTTATGCCAAGCTTAGTGACACATACCTATAATACCAGTCCTCCCAAGACTTGCTCAGAAACATCACAAGTTTGAGCCTGGCCTGGACTATATAGTGAACCCTGCCCCCCATATAAAGAAAAAGGAAAGCAGTTTTTGCAAACACTACAAAATAATATTGTTGAAATAATTCTGACTATATCAGATATTACAGTAAACATATGTGGATGAAACTTGATTAATAAAGACAAAGGTATTTTTTTCAAGAGGCAGAATCCATCTTACCATCTTTAGCCATATGCTTCAGTGCCTTAACAATGGTCTGTCAGGGAGCGAATATGAAAAATTAGTGTTGAAGTAAACTTTTTAAAATGTGATTTTTGATTGTCATTTTGCTTCGTTCTTGCACGCAGCCATTATTGGACCTCCTCGAATGCACATAGAAATGCTTGCTGATTCTTTACATATGCGTTTCTTAGCCCCAGAAGTTGAGAATGAACCTGAAACATGGACCATGAAGAACTTTTATGACTCATGGGCCTATAAGGTGCAATATTGGAAAAATGGGACTGATGAGAAGGTAAGTTTGGCTATGGTGCATTTTAGATGTGGGCATCCATGTTCATTGCTCAACTCTGTAGGCCATGAAGATAGAGCAGGGGGAAAGGCTGTCCAGAGGCTGGGGGACATAGCTCTGTGAGTAGAGTGCTTGCTGGGATCTTAATTTGGATCCCAAGTACTCATGTTAAAAGGTGGGCATAGGGCTGGAGAGATGGCTCAGTGGTTAAAACCACATGCTGGTCTTGTATAGGACCTGAGTTTAGTACACATCAAACAGCTCACAATCAACTGTATCTCCAGTTCCAAAAGATCTGATGCCCGTCTTCTAGCCTCCATGGGCTTCTACACCCATGCAGTGTGCATATATTCAAGCAGGCATGCACATATTCATAAAATAAAAGTTTTATTCTTAAAACTTTTAAACTCCATGGCAGCACATGCCTGTGATCATAGTACCTAGGAGGTGGAGAATTCTAGAGGCTCTTGGCCAGCCTGTCTAGCTCATTAGTGAGCTCTAGGATCAGTGACAAACCTTGTCTGAAAAATAAGGTGCACAGCTACAGACAAAGACACCCAGTGTCAGCCTCCAGCCTCCACTAGCACCTGCACTGGTGTGTGTCACGCACATGTACACACAAAAGCCATCCAGACAAGAGTCTTGCAGGGTAGCAGCACTTTATCCAGCAGGCCTAAGGCCTGGTAATTTCAAGCCAGAAGCTTCTCAGACCACACCCTCATCCCAGAGGAAATAGATGTAGCAGACTTTCAGGGTGAAATGTGAACAATAGACCTTCCTCTCCCTGAAGGGAAGTTGCAGGAGCAGCAGACCAGTGTCAGCAGCTAGCTGGGGGAAGTTGGGGTCCACTGAATCAGGTGATCAGCTGAATGACCACTGTTTCCCAACATCAATCCCCTACCATAGACCACACAGACCAGTCACTTCACCTCCAACTCCCGAAGACGATGAATGAGCAATGTCATCTTTTACGTTTCTTACCCCAGTTCTGTTGCTCTCTTCTTTAGGGAGCAACTCTTTAAAATAAAAAAAGCGCATTAATTTACTTGTGGGTGCATGTGTGCATCGGGTGCACATGTGGCACAGTGTACATGTGGAGGTCAGAGGACAACTTACAGAAGTTGGTCCTGGGGACTGAACTCAGGTTGTCAGCCTTGGGGCAAACAACTTTACCCACTGAGCCATCTCACTGACCCAGAGAACAGTTCCTTTAGAAACAAGATTTGACCCAGTGTGGTGGTGCGCACCTTTAACCACAGTACTCAGGAGGCAGAGGCAGATGGATCTCTGTGAGTTCAAGGCCACTCTGGTCTACATAGTGAGTTCCAGGACAACCAGGGTTATGTAGTGAGGCCCTGTCTAAAAAATAAAAAGTAAAAATTTTAAAATAATAATAAAGGCTGGAGAGATGGCTCAGCAGTTAAGAACACTGGTTGTTCTCGCAGAAGACCCAGGTTCGAATCCCAGCTAACAACTGTTCGTAACTCCAGTTCCAAGGGATCAGACAACCTCTTTTGTCCTCTGTGGGCATTGCACCACACGGGTGCACTGACCTACATGCAGGCAATACATGCATACACATAAAATAAAAATAATAAAATATTTTTAAAAAATAATAATAAAGACTTGAAACCAATGGTTGGAATACTGCCCTGCCACCATGTGGCCCTGGCCACTTCCATGACCTCAGTATCAGCAGAACTATAGAAAGGTTTAGTAACCTCCTTTCTCACAGAACAGGGATTATGGATAGCTCATAGGGATGTTGTGGGATTTAATGAAAAACGAGCTTTTCCCATTGCCTGGAACTATCTGAGCTTCTCTTCCTTTTATGTAGTCATATTTCATTCATTCTTGTTCAGATTTAGTGCTTCTGAGCCAAATGCCATTTGTAATCCTAAACTGATTGTGTGTGTGTGTGTGTGTATTTAGTATCAATTATATTATATTACATAAATGTTTACCATTTAATTCCCAAGAATCTGAGAAGAGATCACCCATGTGTATTGTCTTAGGATAATGTAATTAACATACACACACACACACACACACACACACACACACACACACACTAAAGAGCCAAAACTGGAGGTTAGAGAGATATCTCAGTGGTTCAGCGCACTGACTGAACCAGGTTTGGTTCCCAGCACCCATATGATGGCTAACAGTGGTCTGTAACTCCAGTTCCAGGGGATCTGACACCCTCTTCTGATCTCCACAGATTTTGTACCACACATGTGCACTTACATACATGCAGGCAATATATTCATACACACTAATTTTTCCACCAACCCCCTCCCCCCGAACCTTCCACTGAATGGTCCTATGTTGTAGTCTGTTCCTGCTGCTAGAATAAAATGCTACAGGCTAGGTAGTTTATAAACAATAGTTCTGAAGGCTGGGAAATCCAAGGTCAAGGCACTGTAGCAGATCCAGTGTCTGGTAAGGCTGGCTCACTCTGTTTCTAACACAGTGCCTTGCTGCTGCATCCTTAGGTAGACTGAGGTGAACAGGAAAAGAGGTGAACAGCTCCCTCGCAACTCTTTTGTAAGATCATTGATGGCACTGCTTTATTTATTTAGACAGGGTCTCCCTGTAGCCCCAGCTGGCCTGAAACTTGCTATGTAGGCAGGCTAGCCTCCTGGCTTTGCCTCCCAATGCTGAGATTAAAGGGGTGCTCCACCACACCCAGACCACTAATAGCATTCATGAGGACTCTTGTCCATGACTTCCTGAAAACCTCACCTTTTAAAAAAGTTTTTTAAAGATTTAATTTTTAAATTGTTTTTATTTTTATTTTATATGTGGTTTGGAAGGAGGCCACCCCCCCCTTTTTTTTTTTTTTTGTTTTTTTTTTTTTTTTTTTTTGCATGAATGGAAGTGCACCTTGTGGGTGCAATACCTGCAGATGCCAGAAGATGGTGTCAAACCCCCTGGAACGGGAGTTATGGACAATTGTTAGTCATTGTGTGGGAACTGAACCCAGGTTCTCTGGAAGAGCAGCCAGTGCTCTTAACAGCTGACCTATCTCGCTAGCCCCCAAAGATTTAATTTTTAATTTATTTTTATGTATATGTCAATCATGTGAGTGTAGGTCCCTGTGGAGGCCAGAAAAAGGCATTGAATCCCCTGCAGGCAAAGTTGCAGGCAGTTGTGAGCTGCCCAACATGGGTTCTGGGACCTGAACTTGGCCCTCTGGAAGAACAGCCAGCTCTCCTAACCACTGGGCCATCTCTCCAGCCCTCACCTCCTCCAGTTTTTCTATTACATGTATTTATTGTGTGCCTCTGTGTGTGTCTTTGTGTGTGTATATGTTCATGCATGCACACAAGGAAGTCAGAGGACAGTTTGTGGGAGTCATTTCTCTCCTTCCATCATGTGGGTCCTAGAGAGTAAACTCAGGTCATCGGGCTTGGTGGCAAGTGCCTTTACCCCCTGAGCCATCTCTCCAACCCAACCCCATCTTTTAATATTAACATACTGATATTTAAGTTTCAACATAAGAATTTGAGGGAAAACATACATTCAAACCATAGCATGTAGGAAATCTGCCTTCTTTATAGAAGAGATAATTTTGCTCACAGTCAAGACTCTAGGAAGTATATGCCTGAAAAGCAATACAAATACCTACTTTCATAATCACTCATCAGTCTCTGCTGAACCCTGAACCCAAAGATAAGACCCAGTTGCTACACTCCAGGGATTAAGTGCCTTCTAATTAAGGATCCAGTGCCATCATCACTGTGGCTGAGTGCCTCCCTCCCCAAATGTGACATGCAAAGCCCATTTTATATTTAGCTCCTTATCTATAATAAGCCCATAGCACTGGTATCTGTGTACACATTTGTCCTCTTGCTTCTCTTGGAGGCATGGAAGCCTATTAAATAATGATGCTGGAAAGGACACCTACTCCTCAGTTCCTGCCTCACACCCCACCTTCGAGGTGCCTATAGTGTCACCCTCACACCACCTTATAGAATGCAAACATCCCTCAGACTCTGCTACATCCGTGCCCTAAAGTAACAGCAGGAAGGGCTTTTGGAAATTCCACTGTCCTAATGGGAAAAGAATGAAGGCAGGAATGTCCCAGAAGCTAAAAGGAAAGAGAAAGCCACGAAGGGGACCGAAGAAGGCCCTGTGGCATCTCTGCTCTCTGCCGTCACCCCCAGCTGCCATTGTTTCTGCCTCTGAGCTTAGTCTTTGAAAACAATCCCATTGTAAGGTTTTTGAGGCAACGGACTTCTAGAAGTAAAATCTAGGATTTTTTTGTTTTCTTTGTTGTTGTTGTTGATGTTGGTAGTGATGATTTTATTTTTTGTAAATTTTATCAACCTCTTTTTTGATTCAATAGATGTAATACAATTCTTGCCTCCAATGAAATTAACTTCTCATGGAGTAAAATGAATGACGGGCCATCAACCCCAACCCCAAAGAGAAATAACCAATTATAGAAGAGTAAAAAGAATCTGTGCTCACTTTCTATAATCTTTTACTGCTCCTTTATTTTACCCAGGGACTATTATGTTTCTCAAATTCAGAAACATATTTTTAGTTTTAATAACATTATGCGTTTTATTTTATTTTTAATTATGTGTGTGTATGTGTATATGTGATTGCCTGTGGAGGCCAAAAGAGACATAGGATCCCCTGGAGTGGAGTGACAGGTGGTTGTGAGTCATCCAATGTAGGTGCTAGGAACAGAACCTGCGTCCTCTGCAAGAGCAGCAAGGACTTTTAACTACTGAGCCATCTCTGCAGCCCCTAATTATGATTTGAATTAAAATGGCATGAGTCCAGGACTCCTGCCACCAGAGAAGAGGCAGACTGCGGGCGTGTCCTGGGGAGAGCTACAGCCTGAGAGTGGGAAGCCCCAGACAGACAGAACCATAAACATGCTGTGAATGGGCACATTGAGTATTACTGTGTATAACCCTTGTTAGCTAGGGTTCCTATAACAGGAATCATAAATTGGGTAACTTAAACCACAGAAATTTATTGCCTAACATGTGTATTAGACAATAGTGTCTAACATTGTTTGCTGGCTAGAGTTCCTATAACAGAAATCACAAGTTTGGTAATGTAAACCACAAAAATTTATTGTCTTAACATTTCTGAAAATTCAAAATCAACGTGTCCTCAGAGCCAGGCCACACTCCTGAAGTGTGGATTCACTCTGCCGTGGCTCCTGCAGGCTTGCTGGCAGTCCCTTGGCTGTCTTTGGCTCACAAGGGCGCCTCCCGGGTCCCTGCCTTCATCTTCACGTGCTTTCTCTCTGGGTGCCTATCTGTGTGTCCAAATTTCTCTTTTTTATAAGGTCACCAGATAGATTAGGGACCTGTCCTCCAAACCTCATTTCAACTTGATTTTCTTTGTAAAGACCCTATTTCCTGGAATGTCAAGATGACTCCATAGGTAAAGGTACCTGCCAACAACCTAAGTTCAATCCCTAGGCTCCATACAGTCGGAAACATGGACTCCGAAGTTGTTCTCTGACCTCCATACATACCAGTAGACAGACAGACAGACACACACATACACACACACACACAAAATAAATAAATAAATAAATAAATAAATAAATTTTTTGTATAAATAAAATTTTAAAAGACCCTATCTCCAAATAAAGTAGCATTTGTAGGTACGAAGGGTTAGGACTTTATCACATAAAATTTTATGGGACAGAGTTCACCCATTAAAACTATACTTTTGGTTTTAACTGACTATATTAATGAATGTGTTGAACAAGATTTGTGAGGTAGGGGATTTAGCACTGTGGAATTCCTCACAAGTATAGGGCTCACCACTTGTCCAGAGGACAAAGATTGGGGGTATATTCAATCCACAGCCATCAGGGATAAACCACTTCTCAAGTCCCATATCTTCAAATTTATCTGCATTAAGCTTGGTAAATCCCCTTTTCTTTGAAATACAGAACTTGGACTTGGTCCTGCAGAGGGTCTCAGCCACATGTGCTATATTCTGCAGCTTGGTGCAGGTAGACATGATGGCCTGACCAATGTAAACCCTAGCCAGGGTACCCTGGGGCTTCCCAAAGGCGCCCCACATACCTGTCTGGAGCCTAGAGTGGGAACAGCATGACATCAGGGACATGAGTATGCACCAGGAAACTCCCAGGTCCCGCAGGGCAATCTGTACAAGGAACAGGCTACATATACCCCCTGGGAGCCTGCTGTTTGCAGACATTGTGCACCAGGCCCCCATAGGAGAGGAACCTGGTCAGCTTAATTGGCTGAATCTTTTTTTCTAAGGTATGAGATTTAGATGACACATACTCTATAGAATTGAGCAATATGACAAGTTTGTCAGCCTCACCGTGGATCTTGTCGCATCCCTTAGAACAGCATCGGGCCCTCTGAAAGTAGCTATGGAAACTCCAGTCATCTGCTCTTTCCAGTGTTAAGTCTGACTCACAGATTATAACTGATAGGTGGGGAAAGGCAAATAATGAAAGAAAAAGGTGGAGTCCCTTCGCTGCTGAGGCCTGTTCTGATGTGTATCTCCCTTACAGTTTGAAGTTACTACTCAGTATGACTTTGAGGTCCTCAGAGACCTGGAGCCACAGACAACTTACTGCATTCAAGTCCAAGGGTTTCTTCCTGTACAGAACAAAGCTGGGAAGTGGAGTGAGCCTGTCTGTAAGCAGACAGCCACTGACGGTAAGAACATGCACAGCTGTAACTGCCTCCTCTGAGCTTCTGAGAGCTGCATGGACCCCCACCCTTTGGTCCTGGACACGGTGGCAGGCAGCTTGACCTGCACCTCAGGTCGGAGGGCAGCCTCCTGATCTGCATGGTCTCCAGACCCTGATGGGTTGGCTTCATGCTGAGAAGGAGGTGCCCTCTTCTGAGGAAACTGGTTCATTTTCTCACCAAGCACAGTGGTGTGAACATGAATTCCAGCAGGCCAAGGTCTGCCTCCATATGTCTACTTTTGCTTTGCTTGAACTGCCCTCTCAGCTTCCTGAAACAAGGTTGGTTGGTCCTCCCAAGACCACTCAGCCAAGCTTGAGCCCTGCCACACCCTCAGTCTTTCTTTTCCCACTCTCTAGTTTGGGGACACTTTATGACTGTAAGGGAAAACTTGGAAATGGCATCAATGACCTCAACTAGTGCCACATGTATTGAGGCCCCATGGGCACAGTGGCATCAGGCAGGGTGCCCCCACACTTTATTAAAAGAACAGGCAAGGACTCATGGTAAGATTTCGTTGTTAAGGACTTGTCTGGCATATATGTGGCCCTGGAGGGGAGAAGGGGAGGAGAGAAGGTGCTCCCTGGCCCTGGTACTATCTGTGCAGATATCTTGAGAATGCCTGCAAGGTGTGAAGGCTGTGTGGCCCAGTGTCTGCAAACCAGCAGCAGCCAAGGGTCAGGAGTCTTAGTGAGCTCAGACCACTGGACGTGGGACACCAGGAGAGACCCTCATGTCATGAAATCTGGCATGAATGAAGCACATGATTTGATTAAAAAAAAAAAAAAGTCAGTCCAGGTGTGGTGGCTCAAATCTGTAATTCCAACACTTATGAGGCTGAGACAGGAGGATCACCATGGGTTTGAGGCCAACCTGGACTTATGTGGTAAGTTTCAGGCCAACCTAGGCTATAGAGTGGGTCCCTATCTCCTGACAAAATCCAAGCATTTTATAAAAGAGAACTAGAGGGCTGGAGAGATGGCCAGTAGTTAAGAGCACTGGCAGCTCTTGCAGAGGACCTTGGTTTGATTCCCAGCACCCACATGGCAACTAACAACTATTAAGGTTTCAAACAGCAGCAGCTCCCTCCCGCTCCCCAACAGGGACCTATGGACTTTGGATTTTTGGAGCCTGAAAAAGGGAACTAAGCTGATAAGCACCTTGGCCTTTGAAGTCAAGGGAAGCAGACTCTTCTAAGAAGCAGCCTGCCTTTCCTTCCTCTGATCTCCAAAGACAAGATAAGCAGATTCTGCCTGTTAACCAGAGATTTTAGGAGCTGTTTAGCACAGCAACTTTTCCCTTCTCTTAAAAGGACAAAAAAGTAAACACTTCCTGACCCAGATCCTGGCTCACAGACGGAATGGAGCCAGGTTTACAAGCCCTGCTTTTCCTGCTCCCCTACACTTTAATTTTCCCTAACCGCCCCCCTTCTGCACCCTGAAGCCCCCGTATATAAGCCCCAGCTCACAACCCGTGGGCTGACATTTTCTCTTCCCCGGGGGATCATGTCCCTGCGAAATAAAGCTGTATCCCGCTGAGAGTTTTATCTGTGTCTTGGTGCCTCATCCTCCATTTGCTCATTCTCCACCAAATGTTTACCTATCAACAACCATCCATAATTCCAGTTTCAAGAGAATCTGACACCCTCTTCTGACCTCTGTGGGCATTGCAAGACACCTGTGCACTTACATACATGCAGGCAATACACTCAAACACAGAAAATAAAAATAATAAATAAGGGGCTGGAGAGATGACTCAGTGGTTAAGAACACTGGTTGTTCTTACAGAAGACCCAGGTTCGAATCCCAGCACCCACATGGCAGCTAACAACTGTCTGTAACTCCAGTCCCAGGAGATCTGACAGCCTCTTCTGACCTCCGCGGCATTGCACAACACTGGTACACTTACCTACATGCAGGCAATACACGCATACACATAAAATAAAAATAATTAAATATAATAATAAAATATTTTTTTAAAAGAAATAGAAAACATGTTTGGGCAAATACCATTTGATGAGTTTTTTTTAAGCATATTTATCTCAACATCATGGTAAGTTTTCAATGTGAGCATTCTAAGGAGCTCCCCCATTTTACAGATTAGAAAAGGAAGGTTCCAAAAGGTTTGTTATAGTCCCCAAAGTCACACAGCTAGTGAATGACAAAGAGAATTGAACGCAGTCCAGTATAAGCCCAGCTTGTGTTTCCTTTACCTTACTACCTACAGATTAACTCCAAAGGTAAAATGAGGTGCCCTGTCTCCATAAATAAAACCAAGAAATGTGCTCCGCCAATAGTATATTCAGATAAATCTGCAACAAAGGAGAGGGCTCCAAACAGAGATCGCGGCTTGGTAAATTTCCCTGTATTCACAGCCTTTACAAAGCAGGCTTCCTTCCTTCCCTCCAGACTCCTTTCCCTGGAGTAAGAGTAATATCCTTGAATCTTGTCACCATCAGCCAGACATGTCCTTATTTAAGATGTTAAAACTTTCCAGCACCTGCGTGGCAGCTACAAACTGTCCTTAACTCCAGTTCCAGGGGAATCCGAAGCCCTCTTCCGACCTCCATGGCATTGCACCACATGGGTGCACTCACTTACGTGCAGGCAATACACTCGTATACATAAAATAATAAATAAAATTTAAAAAAAAAAACTTTCCAGCACAAACAGGAGGAAACCAGCTGCTCTACAGGACTCCCCCACCCCTGCGACCTTGGGGACTCTGACCCCTGCCACAGTGGAGTGGAAGGTTGTGTGGATGGATGGGTAAGATCTCTCTCAGGAACTGGGATGACCTCATATTGTCAGTCAGATCCTGCCTGGGAGTCGCTCCGCCCAGCTCACTGGCCACATGACCCTCATACAAGCAGCCCCTTATTCTAAGACGTGAAATGAGATCGTGGCGAACTGGGATGGAGTTCTTCCAACCTGGAAAGGTACAAGGTAGGACAGTCAGGAGATTGGTGCCAGTGGAAATGCTAACACAAAGATTCAACCGAGGGAGAGAGGCAAGTAGAAGATGTGGCAGGTTCCTTCCAGCCTGTCTCCCGTATAGACATGCCATCCATCCAACCAACCATGCATCCATCCATCCATCTATCCATCCACCAATGTTTAAGGAGCCGGGCACCCTGACAAGCATGCTCACACCTGCAGATACCTACAATCAGTAAAGTGGCAGGACCAGTACACTGGTCAGGGTTTTCTGGCCTGCTAAGTGACAGTGAGCGTTTTCCCCACAGACAGTCCCTTTCAGTTGACTTGCTGTTAGCCAGCAGGGTTTGTTCTCCCAGCCCCTCTGGGTACCAGATGTGCATGGCCTTACTTACAAGGGTGGTGCTGGTTGGCACGGGGTTGGGTGCAGGGAGGCCAGAACAACTGTAGAAGGAGCCTGGTATGATTGAAGGAAGCTGGGACTCCAGCTGACCAGGGTGACCTCCTGGATACTGCCAGACAAACCAAGCGGGATTGGTTAACACAGTAATACCAGATTGTATTCAGTTAGCTACTGACCACACAATAGGGGAAGAGGTTGAGCTCCACTTATGCAGAGGAGACTCCAGGTCTGAAGGAGAGAAGGGGGGAGCAGAGTCAGAGAAGTGAAAAGCACCTAAATTTTAGTTAAATATCATTACTATTAGACCATCTGGGTTTGCCAGCTGGCATTTAACCAAGCCCACTGGTCTTCTGTGGAGACTGTTCTTCCTGCTGTTAGTTCTTGAGGAACACACTGCTGGCTTGTGGTAGCCTGTGTATGTCCCAGAGGGGCAGAAGATTCATGATAGGAAGGCCTTTTAAGAAAAGCTTGCTGCAAGTGATCAGGAGCCTATGGTCAAGTGTTGACAGTAACATATGGCACACTCTATAGGCTCCAGTCAAGGATACCAGGGAGGATGGATTACCCCCAGGGACATGGTATCAAGCTGATGGTCACTCAGGCTGTGTAGCCCAGGGATTTGTGGGAAGCCATTAGTGTAAAAGTCCACTCCCTTCTCGATAACAAACACTGGTGCCTGTGTTTCCCTTGGGCTCTGTTTGCTGCATCAAAGTATAGAATACCCAGAGCAGGCCAGCTCGTTGGCACTCTACAAGCAGGCAAAGTGCACCAGGATTCTTGCTTATCATTCTGTATGCCAGCAATTGTGCCAGAAACCACACTAAACAAGATTTGGGAAAGGAGTGAAATTCACTGAAAACCTTAAGAGCCCCCACCCAACTGCTGTGTTTCTAACTGATGTAAATAGATGGACCTGTTGTTTTCAGGGATCGCGTTGGATCACCATGGTTAGAATGGGCATGGGATCCCTGTGTCTCAGACTGTATGTGTGATGAGAGTCTAACCCACCCTCATTGTCCCCAGCAGAAACGACCCCTTCCTGGATGGTGGCCCTCATCCTCATAGCCTCGGTCTTTGTGGTCTTCCTGTTCCTTCTCGGCTGCTTTGCCTTACTGTGGTTCATTTATAAGAAAACCAAGCACACCTTCCCCTCTGGGAATTCTCTTCCACAGCACCTGAAAGAGGTAGGTGGGATAGAATGAAGACGGGTTTCCTCTACAGTCAGGGCTGCCCAATGCTAAACAACATGGTTTTCAAGACAGTGATGCACAACCTGCGGGCAGGTCCGTTCCCATGTGCCAAAGAGGCAAAGGTTTGTTGTGGAAACCTTTTAAGGACCTGAGCAGTTCCTCCACTACCGCTACCAATTCCTTCACCACATCCTGGGGTTACCAAGGTGATGGGTCTGTGGGAGGAAGGGAGAGAGCAGAACTGGGTGTAAAGGTGAGAATTAGAAAGTTCTAAGCTGTGAGCTAACGAAGGGAGAGAGTGGACAGAGGGAGAGATGCATTTTCAGTTGTGGAATATCAGAGTGATTGAAATTCCACAGTGTGATCTGGATGTGGGGTAGGGAGGCCTTAAATCTTTTCTAAAGATTCAAAGGGAAGGGAAAATGCATCTGGCTCAAGACTATAGGACTGAATAGACCCCAAGAAATGTGATTCAAGTCCAATAGTGGCAATAAACAGAAAAAATGCATCTGTGCTGAGTGTGCACAGACATTTTTTTTTCTGGTCATTTTTCCCTATACAAACAGTATAACACCTGTTTACACAGCATTTACATTGTGTTGGGTGGTACAGATGATCTGGAGGTGACTGGAAGATACACAAGAATGTACAGAGGTTATATGCAAACACCATGCCATGTTGTATAAGGGATCTGTGGATCTGAGTATCCACAGGGGTCCTGGAACCAATCTCCATGGATACTGAGGGACAGCAGTACACTGACACTGGAAATGAAATTGTGTCATACCCAGACCCAAAAGAACCTAGCTTTCTCTCACTTCCCCAAGAGATGGATTTTAAGATAGAGGTTTGCATTTCTATGCCTTAATGGGGCAGTTTCTTTAGGAATACTGCCGCTAAGGGGGTGAAGATGGCAGGTTGGAACAGAGAGAGACTGAGCTGTCACTCAGCCACAGCAATGACCTCACTCATTCCCACTGTGGCTCCAAGCTGGGACTGGCCTTTAGAGATGTTCCAAACTGAAGCAAGAGGGTGGGGCCTATGATTCCCTCACTGACAATGTGGTGGATGTGGGCAGCCATCAGGAAGCAGGCAACATAGGATAAGGTGTAAGTCATTAGCAACCAGTGCTCCTGGAAGCAAGGAGGATGACAGCCTCATTCCTGGCATGGTGACACACACCTGTAATCCCAGCCTTCAGAAGGCAGGAGAATCAGGAGTTCAAGGTCATCCTTGGCTGTGTCATGGGTTTGAAGCCAGCCTGGGCTTCGTGAGATGCATTCTCAATGGGGGTTAATATGTGTCTTAGAAATCTCCCCATTTCGTGGGGCTGGAGAGGTGACTCAGCAGTTAAGAGCACTGGCTGTTCTTACAGAAGACCCGAGTTCGAATCCCAGCACCCATATTGCAGCTAACAACTGTCTGTAACTCCAATTCCAAGGGTTCCATGCCATCCATGGGCACTATACTTCATGAGTGCACTTACATACATGCAGGCATAATACTCATACACACAAAATAAAAATAAATCAAAAAAACTTTTAAAGAAATCTACACATTTCAGGTTATGTACTTTCATCTATACGCCTCTTCCCCAGACATCCTTGTTCCTGACCTCCAGGCCTCTTTGTGCTAGATACATGGCCACCAGCCTAACCATTAAAGTCCTCCTGAGCTTTCACATCAAACCCAATCTTGGGTCCCTTTGTTTCCATACAAAGGGGACAAACGCATGCAGTCTATGAAGAGCTTTCTCCCTGATCGGAGCTGAGATCCCACAACAGAACCCCATAAACCATGCCCACCTCCCTGTAAACCAAGGTTGGCCTTTCCCTGCTTCACCTGGACATGAGGCTGTGTCCCCTGATGTGGTCACAGTGTAAACAACAGCAGAGCAGGTATGGGGGAGGAGCAGATGGCAGGAGAGACTGTGTGCTGGATAGCTTTAGTGTCAACTTGACACACCTGGGTTGAGGGAGCCTCAATGGGGGGATTGCCTCTATTGGACTGGCCTGTGGCCATGTCTGAGGGGCATCTTCTTGATGAGTGATGTGGGAGGGCCCATCCCACTGTGGGTGGTGCCACCCCTGGGCAGGTGGGCCTGTGTTGCATAAGAAAGCAGGCTGAGCAGGGGCCAGGGGAGGAAGCCAGTACGCAGCATTCCTTCATGGTCTGTGCTCCAGCTCCACCTCTCACCTCCATGCATCCCCACCAGGGCGAGTGTATACATCCCCGCCCCCCACCATATATGAGCATCTTCATTGTTCTAAGTGTTGGAAGGACAAGGATGACTGAACTGTGGTGCCTGTTCTTAAACTAGCCCTGTGTATGTGAGAGGCAAACCATGACAAGTGTCCATCAAGTGTGTGTGTGTGTGTGTGTGTGTGTGTGTGTGTGTGTGTGTGTAGGCAGTACCATGTGATAGCAGCATATTGTGAATCACATCTATTTTAAATTGCTAGTAGGGACAGGTGAAATGAACACTAAGAAGGGGTGTGTGCACGCCGTGCCTGTGGTCAGAGGACAACTTGAAGGAGTTGCTTCTCTCCTTCCACCATGTAGGTCCAGGGATTGAACTCAGGTTGTTAGGCTTAGTGGCACGCATCTTTTTCTCAGTGAGCCATCTTGCTGGCCCCAAAGCTTTGGATATTTAATCAACCCTTCCAGATAGAACCCCTCTGGTTCCATTAATCCCTTTATCTATTCCCTCCTTGAGGTAAAGTCCACCCTCAGCCTTTTGGCATGACTCAGCTTTAAACTGAGGTGGGCAGCTGCTCTACCTGCTGGTGTGTGGTCTGTCACCATCACTCTTCCCAGCTCTTGAGCAGCTGATGGAAGGAAGCAGGAAAGCTAGGGGAACAACGTCCAGGTCTCTGCTGGGCGACTAAGGAAGCTGGGGGTGGGGTGGGGAGTACCCTAATCCCTCGGATCCAGCAGATTTAGGAGAGGGTGGCTAGAAGTCATCCTTGATTCTCCTGGGAGGAGAGACAAGAAGATGCACTAATGCTCAGAAAAACAAGAGTTATGTGGCTGGCTCAGAAAAAGGTGCGAGGTCAGCAGCCGTGTTGGAGACCTCCACACTGCTTCTGCAATCAAAGTCTCCCTCAACTCAAAATGATGCCCTGGGTCAAGTTAACATGCATCATTAGTCAAACTGGACAATGACGGCATGGGGAAGATGAGTCACTCTGTGGTTTCCCTGGTGTTCGCTTTCTGGACATTCTCCAGGCCCGCACCGCCCTTACCTCTAAGAGACGGCTGGGTCTTGCTAGCTTTGGAAGTGAGAGTTCAGTCCAACCCGCCCCTTCACAACAGTTTGGGCTTTGACCTGCCATCTGTTCTTTCCTGCCTGACCAGTTTCTTTGATGGCGAAGCCAAGCTGCAAAAATAGCACGTGGAGAGCTGTGTACCCTTCTGGTTCTCTTCCACCCAGAGCAAAGGGCCTGCCCCTTTGCCCTTCCTGCTCCAACTAGCTTTACACAAGTTCATCTCTGGAGGATTCTTGAATAAAAGAATTTTTTTTTTTAGAGAGTTTCTGTTATGTAGACTGATATCACTATGAGGTCTATCAGACCCATCCTGTCCTTAGATGACATCAGAGGGTACAGGTCAGCCACATACATAGAAAGTACATACAGCCTGTCCTGTTTTGTTTCTTCATTGCTGTGACAAAACACTCTGACCACTACCGACTTGGGGAGGAAAGGGTTTATTTAGCTTACATATCCCGGGTCACAGTTGATCCCAGAGCCCAAGGTAGGAACTCAGGGCAAGAACCTGGAGATTGACACTGGGATGCCTTCCTCAATCATTTCTCCACATAATTTCTTGAGACATGATCTCACTGAACCTCGAACTCACCATTTTGACTAGACTCTCTGGTCAGCAGCTCACCATTTTGGCTAGACTGTCTGGCCACAGGGATTCACCTGTCTCCATCATCAGTGCTGGGATTATAGACACCTACTGCCACACCTGTCTTTTTATGTGGGTGTTGGGGATTCAAACTCAGGTCCTTTGAGCCATCTCCCTAGCCCATTAAGAAAGTATTTTATGTAACCCATGGACTCTAAAATAACATCACCTCAAGGCTAGAAAGATAGCTCAGCACTGGATGAGTGCTCTTAAGTTGGGTGCTGGATTGAGTTCCCAGCACCCACATGGTAGCTAGCAACCATCCTTAACTCCAGTTTCAAGGGATCTGACCCCCTCTTCTGGCTGCTGCAGGTATTGCACAACATGGATATACTTACAAACATGTAGACAAAACACTCATACACGTAAAAGGAAGGAGGAAGGGAGGGAGGAAAGAAAGTTTTAAATAGCATTATTTCAACATGCAATTGATATGTTTAAGTTATTAAGATATTTCCCATTTTCATATTTCAGATATCATTCATATAAAATCTTCAGCATCTCATGTGTATTTCAAACTCACAACACATCAATTCAAACTAGCCACATGTCAAGTGGCCAGTCGTCACATGTGGTCATGGCTGTTATACTGGGCAGTGGTAAGCTAAAGAGCTGAAATGGATGATGCCAGTGAACTTGGCCACAGCTGCACGGGAGGCACCATGTGCCAGTCTATCACACATTTAGCCACAGACTGCACATCCCTGCTTCCTAGAGGACGGCAGCTAGGCAGACAGCCTTAGGTTCAGGCAAAAAGACACCTCCTTCATGTTCCCAAGGGTGAGCTAGCAGAGGATGACAGGTGAACAGTGTGCAGATAAGCTACTGAGTTACTGTCCTCGCTCATCATTGTAGTAAAATACATGTAGCATAAACTTTCCCACCTTGACCTTATATAAGTTTGCAGCTCAGCTGCAGCTCATTAAGCCATGATGTACAGTCATTACCACCATCCATCCCACCCCCCTCCCAACCACCATTCTAGAGTCTGTCTATAAATTTGATGACTCTGGGTCTCTCATATAAGTAGAGTCATATACTACTCGTCTTCCTTTCCCATCTTTTATTTTTTAACCTAGACTGATCTTGAACTCACTATATAGCCAAGAATGACTTTGAACTCTGGATCTTCCTCCCTCTACCTCCAAAGTGCTAGGGTTACAGGTGTGCACCACCATACCCACTTTTATGCAGTGCTGGAATTGAACCCAGGACTTTGTGCATGCTAAGCAATCACTATTAACTGAGCTATATCCCCAGCTCCTGATTGTCTTTTTTGTGACTGGCTTATTTTGCTTAGCATAATGTCTTTCAGAGTCAGCCATGTTGTAGAATGTGTCAGAATGAACTCTCTTTAAGAAGTATCATCATCATCATCATCATCATCATCACTGTGTGTGGTGTGAGTTCAGGCATGCACATATCACCGAGTATGTGTGGAGATTACAGGAAAAATTTCAGGAGTTTATTCACTCCTTCCACTGTGGGATCAGAGATCAAACTCAGGTCATTAGGTTTGTACAGTAAGCATCTTTACCCACTGAACCAGAATTTCCTCTTTTTTAAAGTGGAATAATGTTCTTTTTAAAAAATATATTTATTTTTCTTCTATGCGTATGAGCATATTGCCTGCATGTGTCAGTGTGCCTGTGTCATGCAATGCCCACAGATGTCAGAAGAGGGCGTCAGATCCCCTGGAACTGGAGTTAAAGATGGTTAGTTGCCACCATGTGGATACTGGGAACTGAACCCAGGTCGTCTGCAAGAGCAGTCACTGCTCTTAACTGCTGTGCCATCTCTCCAGCCCCTAAAGTGGAATAATATTCTATTTAAGTATCACCACACTGTGTGTTCATCTCTGGGCCGATTCTTGGTTTGGTTCTATGGTTCACTCACTGTAAGTGATGCTGCTGCAGATGTGGTATGTGGATCCCTGCAGTGGTCTGTTTTCATTTTCCTTGGGAATATACCCAGGAACAGAATTGCTAGAAAGCATGGTAATTCAATTTTGTTTTGTTTTTCTTCAGTGAGCCACCATAATATTATCGTTACATTTTGAAGTTACATGTTTCTAGTCTGGAAGCTTTATATAAAATCCTTGTTAGCCCAGAAAAGGAAAGAAGGAGAACTTGGTACTTCAGTAACTGTCCTTTTATTCCTCCTACAGTTTCTGGGCCACCCTCATCACAGCCCACTTCTGTTTTTCTCCTTCCCGCTCTCTGATGAGAATGAAGTTTTTGACAAACTAAGTGTCATCACCGAAGACTGTGAAGGCAGCAAACAGAATCCTAGGGTCAGCTGGACCCTGGAGGTCCCATCAAAGCCAGGACCTCAAGAGGACGATTCCAAGGATGAAGCCCTCTCAGTTGGGCATAGTGACCCCTTGCTTCTCACATCTGACTCAGAGGTGTGATCAGAGGGGCCACCTGGGAAAGCTCCAAATCTAAAACTCTTCAGCACTGAACTTGTTCAGATACCAAAGAGCTAGGCTTTAAAGGCTTGAGTGACAAAAATACCCCATGTTGGGACCTCACTACTTTATAAAGACTTTAATAATTTAGAAGCTGGGAATGTAGCCCGGTTGGTACAGTGCTTACCTAACGTGTACAAAGTCCTGGATTCAATCCCTGACACCACATAAACCAGGTATGGCAGTGCCTGCCTGCAATCCAAGTACTTGGGAAGTAGAGGCAGGAGGATCAGAAGTTCAGAGTCATCATTGGCTGCATAGGGAGTTTGAGGCCAGGTGGACTAGAGACCCTGGCAGAGAGAGAGAGAGCTAGAGAGAGACTTCTACCCCCTCCCAAAAGGCCACCAAATGTAATTTCGAGCCCTTTATGCTCACTAAAATGAGGATCACATTTCTATTGGGAGGAACAGAAATATTTTAAATATGGGACCAAGGTGGAGACCCTATAAAATCTCAAGAGTAGCAACAGACCAACCAGAAAATCAGTAGCGCCTCAAAAGTGGTCATCTCCATGCTGAACAAAGACGGACTTTTTGGATTCTCAGGGAGACTTTGAAAGGATTTCTTTTCCTACCTGTGTGTCTTGTGTGTAGTGGTAGTCTGTAAATACTGTTGAATCTGTGTGTTCGCATTAGCTTTCCATTGTTGTGACAAACCACTGGACATACATATCTTAAAGAAAGATTTTATTCTGTTGACTCATGCTTTCAGAGGTCTCTGCACATGGTTGCTTGGCACTGAAGGACCCTAATTCGGTCCCCCTAGGCTAAAGACAAGGAAATAAGTCCTTCAGGCCAAAGAACTGTACAAGAAAGTAAAAATAAAAAAATAATTCTGAATGCTAAGAACAAGCTGAGCTGACCTTTTTCATGCTCTTTGCCCAAAGCTGGAAATTATCCCAGAAATCCCCCCCTACCTCTGCTTGGCACATAGCCTCCGCTTTTTTGCTTGGCACATAGCCGCCGCTTGTGACGTTACTGCCGCTTTCTCTCTAGTTTGTGGTCTTTGTCTTTAAAAGAAGCCTGTGAACTGGGCTCTGGGCTTCTGCCCTCCGAGTGAGGCAGGGGTCCGTTTTGCAAAACATAATAAATCCTCATGCTTGTTGCATCTTCTGGTCTGAGGACTGAGTTATTGGGGAGCGGCCTCCTATAGACGTTGGGTACCCCAAACTGGGGGTCCAACATTTGGAGGTTCCACCGAGATCCAGGCCACCCCCAGACCCATTTCCTCAGATCAGCAGGAGGTAAGAATAGACGTCTTGTAATTTGTCTTGGTCTTAATGTCTGTCATTTCCTGCTCTGGGAACGTTCTGTCTGAACAGTTGTGCCTGTACAGGACCTGTAAGTCTGTATTCTGGGAACCAAGGGGAGTGGCAGACGTGCCCAGGGACCCCAGGTGGCACATTGCATCATGGTGGGCATGTATGGTGGACATTCACCTCATGGTAGCCAGAAAATGAGAAGGCAAAGGGAGGGGCAGAGTCCCAGTGTCCCCTCAAAAGACCCAACTTCCTGTAACTAGGCTCCTCTTCTTAAGGCTCCACTACCTCCAACAGCACCCTCAGCTGGCCACCAAACCTTTAGCTTATGGACTTTGGGAGATGTTCAGGATCTAAACCACAACAGTGTTAATAATGTTACATCTGTGTAATTGTTAGACATGCATGAACAAGGCTCCAGTTTATCCCTGTCCAGACAAAGCACTTGCTAATGTTTTACAGGGATTCTTTGTCTAGGAAAACCTCTAAGAACAGAAACGCCCTGGGCTTTGCCCAGCTCAGACACTTACTAGCCTGTGACTTCTCCGTTTTATCTGTCTGTGGGGATGACAGAAACAAGGATTAGTGATGCAAATGTAGACAGTGACAGTCCAAGGGCCAGATATAAGAGAGTCGTTCACTGAATAGCAGCTGTCTTTACCAATCACATCGTTTCGTAAGTATGACAACCTCCACAAATGTAAGCAAGCAGCAAATGTCCCCCAAACTGTGCCAGATTAATTAATAAAACAGATCCATCAAAGGCCCCACAAAGGAAAAATGCTTAGAACTTGTTTGACACTGAGCTGTGAATGTAGCTCAGTGGTAGAGTTCTTGCCTTGTATGAGCCAAGTCCTGACCCCCCAAATTAAGTAAGCAAAATCTTTATATTTCTTTAAAATATCCAGATAAAATTTACTACAACTTTTGTAGAATTTATTTGTGTGACAGGTTACACAGAAAACTACTTAAAGCACCTAAGGAAAAAAAGTGTCCATGGGTCATGGTGCGATTAGTTTTCTTTCATCTTTGGTGGGGATGGGGTGATCACTCAGCAAAACGAAGGTGAATTTAAGGTTATTTCATGTATTTCGTGTAATGATTGGGAAATAAATGCCTAAGGGTTGGGTGGATGTGTGTGTGTGTGTGTGTGTGTGTGTGTGTGTGCGCGCACGCTTGTTTTTCCTGCTGGTGTTCACTATCTGGAGCAGTAGCTATGTGACAATGTTTCAAACTAATGGATTATATATTGATTAAACAATATAAAAATAACAATAAACAAAGATATTAATGTTTTATGAAGGTAATTTAAGGCTTGGTAAGATGGCTCATGGGTAAAGGCATTTGATACCAAATCTGACAACATGAATTCAATCCCTGGAACCCATATGGTGAAGGAAAGACCCAACTCCTGAAGGACACACATATGTGCACACACACACACACACACACACACAAAAAAAAAAAAAAAAAAAAAAAAAAAACATACACATATACAAATGTGAGAAAAGAAAAGTGGTTTAAGAGCCCAGCATGCCTTCAGACAAACCCAGTGGCTGTTCCAGGACTTGACTGGGGTCACCTTATTCTGCCAATCTCTGAATATTAGTCTGTCTCTTGCTTCCTTCTGAGAAGCTACAGTTATAGGGCAACTGTGAGATTCAGCACAGCACCATCCAAGCTGACCTGCAACCCTAAAGGCTGTTAATACAGCATTTTACCAAGTTCCTGATTTTACCTAGGAAACATTTTCATTTAGAAAGGTCCAGTAGAGACCTGGAAATGGTAGTTCACACCTTTAATCCCAGCACTTGGGAGGCAGAGGCAGGAAGATTTTTGACAAGTTTAAAGTCAGCAAGTTTAAGGCATACTGAGACCTTGTCTCAGAGAAATAAATACAAACACCAGAAGTGTCCAACAGGCATCATAGCACATGCCTATAATCCCTGCACTCAGAAAGTGGAGGTAGGAGGGCCAGAAGTTCAAGGCCAGCCTCAGCTACATATCAGGTGTTCTAGGTCAGCTTAGGCTATAGGAAACCCTGCCTCAAAAATGAGAGGCGGGGGGACAGAGGAATGAACAAAGAAAGGAAATATTCAGTGTACTTGTAATCTTTATATGGTACAGGAAACGGTTTTCCCCAATACTTATTTCTGAAACATGACTGTCCCAGGAAGGAGGAAATGTTAAATCTAAGATGAATTGTAGAGTTTGGCAAAATGGCAGCTGGTACATCTGAACTGAGTCACTTGGAGACCACCCTTGATCTCTGCAGTGGATGTAGGAAAGAGTCAGAGCCACCTGGAATCTGGCTGGGTGCTAAGCCTTTTTTCCTACCCTGGGAGCTCAGCCAGAAGCACCCCTGCTCTGCTGAGGAGACGCCACACAATGACCGGGAGCTGCAGAGGCCTCCTCCTCCTTCACCGCATGGTTCTGAATGACAAGTGTACAGAGGTGGACCAAGGAAGAAAGTCACCTCAGCCTGCTTCTTGATCTACCCACCAGTGTGGGGCTTAACCACCCACACATGCTCACAAAAGACTCACAGGCCTCATGAATGGTCTCTGTTGGTGGCATGAAGCAGAGGTAGGAATTAAGCAAAGGTATGCAAATTAAGAGGGGGCAAGATCCCCAGTATGCTCTGAAGGAGGGTGACTGTGCCCATCTACTAAAGAGCCACTGCCCACTGGACTTACAGTCCTACCAGCACCCCTCAGAAAGGGCATCTTGGAGCTGAGTGTTGAGATGCAAAGTATAACTGCTGTGAGTGCGAGTCCTACTAAATTTTGGTTTGGGTTTGTTTTGTTTTTTTTTAAACTTTTATGGTCTACTAATTAGATACCAGATTGGGATATAGTTCAGTAGGTAGAGTGTTTACCTAGCAAGCCTGACGTTCTAGGTTCATCCCTGGCGCCACAGAAACCAACATGATGGTACATGTCTGTAATCCTAGCACTCAGGAGGTGAAGCCAGGAGAATGAGAGGTTCAAGGTCATCCTCAGCTAGATAGCGAGTTTGAGGCCAGACTGGGCTACCTTTACTTAAAAAAAAAAAAAAAATACTACCTTTCTAATATGCCTCCTCCTCAGTCTTTTTTAAAAGTTATTTTAAATTCAAATTTACATTTAAACAAAGGAGGGCATTTGGTTGGCAATGGCCTGCAGTAGAAAATCCATTAGGCATACCTCTGGATGTGATACAGGAATCTATACTTTGTTATGCCAGAAAAGCCAAGAGACAGAATTGATGGGAAAAAATAGATGCATTTAGTTTTATCCAGAATTGAGAAAAAAACAACAACAACAAAACTTCACTTTCTCTTCACCTTGCTCATAGCATTGTTACAATTCATAGAAATGATAAATCAGGTGTAATGGCACATGCCTTTAATCCCACAACTGGGAGGCAGAGGCAGGCAGACTGCTGTGAGATTGAGGCAAGCCTGGTCTACATAGCGAGTTTCAGGTCAGCTGAGGTTACAGGGAAACCCTGTCTCAAAAAGACCAAAAAAAAAAAAAAAAAAAAGGAAATGATGAAACAACAAAAGAAATATACGTATATGAATTTAGCTGTGAATCCAAGTGACCAGAACTGGGAGGTAAGTCTCGTCTCCTGAAGATGAATTCCTCCTCTGTGCCAGGGCTCCTCATTCTAGCATGGAATTTTCTATGGAAATCCTAATGCTTACAGACTGTCGGTACCAAAACAACTCTCACCCAAAAGAGAAGAAAAATGGTTTATTCTGGATCCAAATACAAGTAACCATGGCCAGG